TGTTAACGCCTCCTTAAATTAAGTTTTCCCAATACCTTCTACTATGATATCATCAATAATCTACGTATACACACTTTGCACTTTGCTATTGAAATACAATCAAATCCACATCTGATTTTGTAATAACCTATATAATTACTCAATCAAAACACCACCTGATCTAGCTAATAATTTGAAAAGTTAATCGTTTGATTAACTATTTTATTTATATAAATAGTCATGCACATCTATCCTTATATTTATTATATATATATATATGTGTGTGTCTAAGTGGTTCATTAAAATTAACATACATAATTTATATCAATAAAAATTTTGATCAAATTATTAATTGATATTTTAAAATATTAACTAAAATGTAATGCCTTTGAAATTGAGATTGTAATTTTTTTCTTAAAAAATAAAAATCGAGACTCACTATCTTACTATCTTTTTACTTCAGAATGAAATCTTGGTGAGATCTCACCGTTCCAGTCACCCAAACACAATGAACTAAACAAATGTCTCTTTACTTCTCTCTTTTCTCCCCGAATGTACTTTTAATTAATATAACTTGTAAAAAAAATGTGAAAAACATTAATATAGCAGGGAATCAAATCCGAAGAACACAGGTTGTTACACGCAGAAAACACCAAGTTTTTAAAATTTTTCATGATGAATTTATACAACGTAAAGAAAACAGAAATTGCAATCAAATAAAAAGCAGATTCCATTTTCCCTCTATAAATAAGATTTCAACATAGCAAGAAATTAAGGACGTGAGCAAAGCAAATAAATTACCTGCTTCCAGCTCCATGGCCTACTTCGGTACATTTTTCCAATCCTTCCACACTCAAGACCACCCAAATCTACAGCCATCTACTGCTGGAAAAAAGAAGAAGAAAGCATGCTCTGGCTTTGGCAATGGAGCCGGAGTGGGAGAAGCCTTTGGCAGAGGGGAAAGTGACATGAAAGTGTCCCCTAATGAGAACATCAATATAGGCCCTGGTGTGGGAGCTCCCTGGTTCTGGGGTGCAGGTGAGATGCCAATGCCCTCAAATGGAATCAGAGGCCCTAGCTATGGAGCCCCTTGCACTTGGGGCAGAGTTGACGTGACAATGAACCACGGCGGTGGAAAAGCCAATAGTGGCGGATCAAAGCCACTGGCAGCGCCACCAAGTGGAAATATCAATATAGATCCGGGTGTCGGAGCTCCAATTTATTGGAGCAAAGGTGAGTTCAAAGTGCCTCCAAATGCAAATGTCAATATTGGCTATGGTACCGGAGGTGTCAACAGCGGCGAAATGTCGGCAAGTATCAACTATCACCATGGAACCATCAATTTCTAGAGATTGTACAACTTTTCCCGAAATCTCATCTTAATGAGTTGAGAATACTACTTATTTGGTTGGGAGCATACTCCCAGGGCTGCGGAGATATCTTATCCGCAACCTTGAGGTAATTGTGGTAAATAAATTGCTCCTGTTAAATTATCTCGGAATTCTAAAATACAAACAACTAATAAAACAGTTGCTATTAACAGTTGACTTTTTTATTTTATTATTTAAATTTGTTATGAATAAATTTTCCATCATTAATGTTGTGGTTTTAATTTTTATTTGTCATTTATAATTTATAACTTGTTTGATTAAAAAAAAAAAAGCAGAAAAGGGGTGGAAAAAATTTTTTTTTGTACAATTAAGTCAAACAAGACTCTTACGGATCATACTCATGATATTATCTCTTCATTAATTTAGTATTAATAAATTTCATAATTTTTTTATAAAAAAATTAAAGCAACAACTAACTGGCTTTGTCGTCTGAAGATAGTCGCTGCAGAAATTCAAACCAAAATTACCTTATGCATGAGGAAATTTCCAACTGGTTTAAGAACTGAGCAGGAATAAATAAAGATAGGATTAATTATATATATATATATATAACAGATTAATTAATAGAAATTGTCGTGGAGGAGAGGGATGGCTAGAAAGAATAAGAATATGAATTCTAATTATATGCGTGAAAAATTGTTTTTTTACCGATAACTTTGTTGGTTACTCTACAAACCTCCCTTAGAGACAATGAAAATTAACAATGGTGAAATGCTATATTGATCGCGCAATTCATAAGAGTGACGGCTTGTGATACTATAAATTCCAAATTGAGGAGGAAGTGTATAATTAAGTGGTATAAAATTAAGTAAATTAAATTAATTAAAATATGACATTTTTTTATATAATGGTACCTGTTATAAATTTTTCCTTATGACTATTAACATTTTTTTATAGTTAATAAGTTTCATTTCACATGTATATACTTCCTATTGTGTCTTTTAAGTTTGCTTAATCCTTCAATTTTATGCCAACAAGCTAAATAACTCAGAAATTATTTTTTTTTCTGAAAATAAAAAGTATGAAATTTGAATAGTATGGTATGTGGGTAAAATATGATAAAGAATAAGAGATAATTGCCTTTCATTGTGCAACCAAAATAAAAAAAAAAATCTTTCAATTTTATATTAATAAAAATTAAAATTTTTTTAAACAAATTTTAATACTTAACAAAAACTTCATATCAGGAAAAAAAAATTAATTACTATTTATTAAATCATTAAATTTTTATTTAAAATTAATATTTAAAAAATTAAAAAAAATTAAATTAAATTTATTAAAAATAAATAAATAAATATTTATTATGTTCCTAACATGTAATTAAAAACATCTTTCGAAACCCTTTTATAAATAAATATTATGCAGTAACTATTAAAGATAAAAAAAATGTCTATTTACCTAAATTGAGTTTTAATACCAATAAAAAATATATATATACCTATTTAATAATACTTACTATTAAAATTATTTTTAAGAGTTTTGTTCAGTTAGTGGTCACTTTTGGGCGGTTGGATCTGCAAAAAAAAAAAAACGTGCTCAAAAGTCAAAAACGCACATGGAGCAGGTTATTAATTTTGACTGTTTGAAGGGCAAACAGATTTTGTAATTGCTCTCTGCTCTCCGACCACTCCCAACCGTCCCAATAAAAAAACTTGAATTGGTTGAAGAACAAAAGCTTTTTGATTTGGGATTTCACCTGTAATGAAGCTGGACTGTTTCCCTGGTTTTCTTCTAATAAGTTCGATTATAATTCTGCTCCAAATGCACAATCTTTTGTTACTCTAAATGATTTCACTTTGATTTATTTTTCAAAAGGTGAAATTGTGGTGATATTTGGGGGTTGTTTTGGCGAAACCCTGATTTGGGTCTGCTTTGGAATAACCAATTCCCGTTTCCCAGGACGGGAAATTATCTATGAAGTAAGAAGATGGTTTCTTTGTCAAGTTTGTGGTGGTCTTCTCCATCTTTACCCTCTTGTAGCTCTTCTCGGTCTACTGCGTATGGCGTTTCGGGTGCAAAGAGAATCGAGTCTTGTGTATATAAGCAGAAAAAGAAGAAAAGAAATGTTATTTGTGCTTGCATGGCCCCTCCTCGGAACTTGGAAAGCGATGGATTCTCTGGGACCAAATTCAATGTAAAACCTTCAAACCATTTTCTTCTTCACTTTCTGCATTTCATTTTGTCAATACTGTATTTATGTAGGGCTATTATTGTGTCTGGAAGTAACTTTGTAGATTTAGCAGTTGCAAATTCTCTGTAGTGGGTACTGTTTTTGTCGCTGAGTGCTGATGCTTTCAAATTCTTGGAAAGCATGAATCATTTAAATGGTTGCCTTGCTTTTATTTTCTTGTGATTTGATATGATTTTCTGCAATGGTTTATGTCTTCAGGAATCATTTAAATCTGAGAGTTTAAGCAACGCATTCCAGCATGAGCATGATGACTCTGATGTTCTTATTGAATGTCGAAATGTCTACAAATCATTTGGTAAAAAGCATATCTTGCGAGGTGTTAGCTTCAAGGTAATCTGTTTTACTTGAGAAATGCCTTTTCTTTTGTTCAGAATAATTAAACAATGTACGCATATATAATGATTGCAGAGGTGGTGATGATCTCTAGTTATTCCAGTAAAAGATTTTACCTGATTCCAAAGTCGAACTTTTATTGTGAAGAACCACTTTGTGCAAACAGCAGGTTCTTTAAGATAATCCATTCTAATGGGAAATACTTCTTTGTTTGTAGTGCATTCACATATGGCAAAATGAAAGAACTTATTGGGTTTATTCAGATTTCATACCATTCCTAGAATTGACCAATTTAGAATGGATTAAAACATTGCTGAGCAAAAAATGAAAAGGAGGGATTAAAACATTACTTAATCTTTAAGCTCTTTATCAAAATAATGAATAGAGGATGCTGTATGTCAATTTATTTGTCTTAAGATTTTTTTCAATTTGTGTTTTCCCTTTTCCTTTTAAACTAGTATACTCTGTTTTTTTGCCTAATCTTTAGATTAGACATGGTGAAGCCGTGGGGATTATTGGCCCTTCTGGAACTGGGAAGTCTACCATTCTCAAGATTATTGCTGGACTTCTTGCTCCAGACAAGGTAGTAAATAGATCATGGATTGATTTAATTACATTCTTTTTCTTTTTCCTTTTTCACATCTTTTAACTTTTGTACTCTGTTGTGTTGCATGTATCTTACCATTTGATTACTAGTATAACCAGATAATAATTTTTATGACTAGGGAGAAGTTTATATCCGAGGAAGAATGAGAGCTGGTTTGATCAGTGATGAAGAAATTTCTGGTCTTCGGATTGGACTGGTTGAAATTTTATTTTAAGTTGTGTATATTATAATGAAGTTCTCTTGAGATAATTTATGGAGATCTGATTTTAATATTTATTTGACTTCTTATGCAGGTGTTTCAAAGTGCAGCACTTTTTGATTCTCTAACTGTTCATGAAAATGTTGGTTTCCTTTTGTAAGAGACAGTCTACATCATTTTTCAGTGATACTATATAGCTCTTCTCCATTTTAGATAGAGACCTTTACCTTCTTTATGAATGAAGAAATTAATTAAGTGGTTCGTGATCATTGATTGCTTAGATATGAAAATTCAAGAATTCCAGAGGATCAAATCTCACAGCTGGTGACAGAAAACTTGGCTGCTGTTGGTTTAAAGGTGTAAATCAACTCAATCAATCATTATTTTCAGATGTCCATGTATGATCAAATGTTGTTGAATATAACATGATAGGAAGTATATTGAACTTTGTTTGAGTAGTTGAGTCTGTATTGTTACTGAATCTGAAGAACTGCCTTAACTCTTTAATGTTAAGTATGCACTACTTGTTTGCTGACACTTCATATCTTCACCTCAATCTTGCCTGTTAACAATTCCGATGCACCAACCTTATTGTTTTAGATTGATGCTAAATCTAGCTTAATTATCATCCCAAAGTATATATAAATATTCTCTCCAGGGTGTTGAGGATCGGTTGCCTTCTGAGTTGTCTGGTGGAATGAAGAAAAGAGTTGCTCTAGCTCGTTCTATAATTTTTGATACCATGAAGGAATCAATAGAACCTGAGGTATGTTGTATCTTATGTAGTATTTCTTGCACTTTTTCTTCCTTTGGGTGTTGGTACACTTCTAATTAGTGGATGCTGAGTGTCTTTTTGATTGTGTATCTCTGGAATTTTTCCTGTGAATAAAAGTTTTCTGGTATGCTAACACTACAAAATCTGTTGATGTATTGCTTTCGGTTGTCTTTTCAGAATCAAATTAGTAGCATAATATGAAATGAACATTAACTAGCATCTCATTCTCATCTCTTTGGTGCACTTTCTTTCAGAATTTAGTCCTGAACCTTGAATTAATTTCTCCCCAATATGTTCTTGGTTGTGCTGGTGAAGCATTGTGTAGCAAGTCTCAATTAAGCCATGATTTGGGTTGGGTTTCTATTATTTGTTAGGCCTAAGTTACAAAACATTTAACTTTATGCGGTTAAGAGTTTTGGGTTAGGCATTGAGCAAAAATGTAACGGTTTATATTTTGTGGCCTGCTGTTGGTAGCTTGACTATGAAATCAGATTTATGTCCTGGCTTTTGTACCAAATCGACTTTGTTGATCTGTTATTCTCAGCACCCTTTTGGTTTCTGGATAGGTGCTTTTGTATGATGAACCTACAGCAGGACTTGATCCTATTGCATCCACTGTAGTTGAAGATCTCATCCGGTCAGTACATATGAAAGGTGAGGATGCTGTTGGGAAACCTGGGAAGATTGCATCTTATGTGGTCGTTACTCATCAGCATAGTACCATTAGAAGAGCTGTTGACAGGTTAGGCTTGCTTCATTTAAGATCATTCTGTTCTTATATCTATGTTGCTGGTTGCTATTATGTATTATGCGTAGTAAAACCATTGCTATTGTTAGTTTGCTTGGCATTGCTGAGGTTTGGACCTCTGACCTTTACCCCAAAATCAAGGCTTTTTTCAAAGTTATTGGGTACAAACTTAGGTAGGCTCTTGTTGGTTCTTTTTTAGGTTGTTGTTTCTACATGAAGGGAGGGTTGTTTGGCAGGGAATGACTGAAGAATTTATGACATCAACCAATCCAACTGTTCGACAGGTAATCCAATTGAATTTGCTTATTGGCATGTGTTACATATACATAGAATGACTAAAACATAATCTTCCTATGCCTTCTATTCTCAGTTTGCATCTGGGAGCCTGGATGGGCCAATCAGATATTAGTTCAAGTGCCTAAGGTTACTGCTATTGATTCATGGCCATAGATT